ATGAACATGATGGAAATCATTGCAATCCCATAGTGACAAAGATCACACCACTGGAGTACCATGCTAATGATGTGGATCCTTATCGTGATACTTATGAACAAGAAGGCCCACACATTTGACAACTTTGCAACCGCATGAGAAACATGCAAAACCTTCACAATTTGCACAACTGAAACAGGCCGGGAATTATATAAAAAACGCATCACCACAAGGGTGAAAATAAGCAGTCCTAGTGTTCACAAACAAAAGGCACAAAAGACGCAGGCCTCGAATACTCCCCCGCGATTGAGACTGGTTTCAACAAAGTACGCAGAAAGGTAGCAGCTGAAGCTGGTAAAGAGGTAGGGGAGTCAGTTGCGCGCAGCGATTCTGACTGTGCTGGTTGTACAGTAGCCCCGAAGTCAAAGGGTGGCAGCATCTTGCACTTCCGCGGAGTTCCCGCCGCGTGGTCCGTTAAACGACAAAAAGCCAGGGCACGTAGTACCTGTGAGGCTGAGTATGTCGCTGCGTATGACACTACCAAGATGCGCACAGCCCAAGGCTTTCCTGATTGGTATCTAGAGACAGAAGGCTCAGGAGGTGTCCCACTTGTGTTCGTGGAAAGTCAGTCTGCGCTAGGTCTCAGTAAGTCCACAGTAACGACGAAACGATCGAAGCGCGTCGATCTTCGGTATCGCGCAGTCCGCGACCACGTAAAGGACCTGTGTCATTGTCCAACGGACTTGAACCGAGCAGACCCTCTCACGAAAGGTCTGAGTAGTGTCAAATATCTACAGCTATTTCGTGCACAAGACGACGAAAAGTTGAGGCCCGTAACCAGAGCGCATCCTGTCACTTTCTCGAAGTTGTAATCGAGAGTCGTGCGCAACGCTTGGCGTGTGTAGTTTTGTGCGGTGGTCCTTACTTTGGGAGGGGGAATGTAGGCAGATCGAGATCCAAGATCAAGATCGTGAGTTTTGTGATGAATCAGGTCGAAGACCCAGGTCAACTGCGTCCCCTGGTTCTGGTTTCAGTCGTTCCCGCCTATTTTCCTGGTCCTGTGTATTCGAAAAACTGAAATAAGCGAGTAACTACTTTCAATAAGCGAGATACTGAACAAGGAAGAGTAGCCCTGTCAGAGCTACCTCCCTTATTTCAGTCAGTAACTCGGTTATTTTCAGTTTTCGAGTATGTTCCTCCCAATGGTATGAAGATCACCACCAGAATGACAAACCACACCAAGGTCCCCAAGGTTCCAACGGTTCACCGGTTCCCCCAGTAGTTTCACCATCATCATCATCCTAATAGCAGTCACCATCCTCATGCATATCCTAGTGGTAGTCGCGTCACCTTTCTCACCCGCAGGCTGGTAATAGTGACCCGAGTGATTTCCCTGACTTGCATGCGTGTGGTAGTGGTTTCCAGTGTATTCATTCTAGTGGTGTAAATGTTTGGTCGGTATTCAGTCGATGGACATTGCTACCAAGAACTTAAAAAGAGCAAAATCAGAAAAAAACTAGAAGGCTTTCGCGCCTGGCAGCATTCGCTTGAATTACTAATCACCTAGAAGCCACCTACTAGCCACCTAGTACTAGTAAGCTACTAAAAGCCTACAGGTTTCTAAATTAAAAGGAGAAAAAAAGCAAACTGCGGCAGTTGTATAGCAGAACCTTAAAAACCTCGAGAACCTCAAAAGCGTCCCGAGCCTCAAAAGCCTCCAGAACCTCAAAAGCCTCCAATATCTCAAAAAGCTCCAGAATCTCAAAAGCGTCCAAAACACCAAAAACCGACAGAAGAATGAACACCCAACACCCCGAGAACTTCAAAAACCACCACAGCCTCAGAAGGCCTCCAGAATCTCAAAAGCCTCCAGATCCTCAAAACGAACCTCCCGAAAGAATCGCAAAAGCCTGCAGAATCTCACAAACCATAATAAACAAACCGAAAAACACCCAAAACCTCGAAACCCTTCACAACTCCAACAACCTGCGAAACACCCAAAAACCCCCAGAAACTCAAAAACCTCCAGCGGCAGACCCTCGGGACCCTCAAAGTCCTCGAAGATCTCAACAACCCGGGGCCTTTTCATAACCCCAGACACCTCTACAGCCTGCAGATAAAACCGCCAGAATCTCGGACACCTTTAGAACCTCGACCGCCGCAGCGCCTCCCCCTTCCTCTTTGGGGTCATGCTCGCGCGGTCTTTTCCTACTCTTCTTGACCCTATTCCGCTCCGCTTGTTGTTCCGCCCCTCATCTTGTTCTACAAACTAAGCGCAAGGCCTGCTGCTTGTAATATATGCGAGGCACGACCTTCCTCCACTGTGCAGCCATCAGTCTGCTCCTTTCTCCCTCTGAGGTGCTCTGTCGCCGAAGTCTCCGCCTTCCTCCTCGGCGGGCCTCCTCTTCGTCTTCTTGGCCTTGCTGCTGCGGCGGTGGTGGTTGCGCTTGTCCTGTTGCCACGGCTGTTGCTGTGGTGCTGGTGCTGTGGTGCTGGTGGCGCAGCCGTGGAACTCCCGGGCCAGCCTCTCGCGGTTTCCTGGTTTGTGCCTCCCACCCCATCCCACCGCCAACGCCCTCGGTCGACAACAACACCCAACCCACCCAATGGCCATGTCCACAAGGCTTCAAGATAAGCCACGCGGTGGCGCTTGATTTCAAGACGCTGCGCACGTCGAGTACCGTGCTGACCTCTGAGCAGCAAATCGATAGAAATGCACCCCCCCACCCCCCACCACCTACACAGGCCTCGCCCTCCTACAAGCTGTTCGCCTGGATGCACTCCGCCAGCCTTCCCCGCGCGAAGTGTATCGGCACCCTGGTGCAATTCTTGAGCCGTCTATTTGCGCACAGGCCGGCGGCCTGCTGATCGTTCGACACCCGCGGCCCGTAATCCTGTGGCAAATTGTCGCCACCACTGTCAACTGAACCGTAGCGAGCTTCCCGCGCTGGCCTGCTTTTCTCAAGATTGAGGCGCAGAGACGTCTCTCGGCCGATGCGCTCTCTTCGCTCAACTTTCTCGACGCTTGCCCCAGAGATGCGACGGCAGTCTCTAGCTCAGACCACCTCTCGGAGTGGGTCTCGGTTAACTTTTTTCCGGGCAAAAATAGAAGAGAACACTTCAGAAATTGGAAAGTTGGAAAGTAGAGAATTGAAATAGCCGCACTAGGTGTTTTGCGTGGAGTTGGAGGACACGATAGAAGCACAGAGCAATAAGACAGAAAGTAGAGAGATAAACTTAAAGACCTTCCCGAAACACTTCGAGTCTCCATCTATTTTTTGGAAAATTGAACGGCTCTCCTTGTTTGTTGGAAAGTTGATAAATTGCACGACTGAGGCCAGCCTACTTCTCTCTTCAGAATGCCGAATCTCTCGCCAACAACAACGAGCGTCCATCTCACTTGAAAGTAGCCCAACACGGAATGGGCATCGCGTCACACTTGAAAGTAACCCAACACAGAAAGAGTATCGCCATCCGGGAACGCGCAGCAAGCAGATGCAAGCGCTTATCTGCTTCATACAATATAGCAGCGCCCTGCGTTTTGAGTGCTTGCGCTTGGCTGACCTAACAAGTAATAAACTCGATGAAATTTCTTGAAAATGAAGGGATTCTAGTGGGGGCTTCACAATGATAACGCATCTGAATGGGAAGCCATTTCGTTTTCGTTCTGTTTGAAGAAAGGGGGAGGGCCACAGCTAAAGCTAAGAAATAAGTCAGAACGTCGCTCGAGAAGGGTCGTGCCCGAGTTGGTTGCAGAGAGCAAAGCGCTCACGTGTTCATTTAGTTACAACGCATACAAGCTATGGAAAACACATAGGCGAAAGGCCTTCAGAATAGCCTTAGACCTTCTCCCTCATGAGACGCGCGCCGCCCTTGTCTTTTATCGTGACGAACTTATTGGGGACACAATTAGCACTATCGTTCTTGTGTAGTGCTTTTTCGGTCCTTGCCTGGAAACCGTAACAGACCGGGCACAAGCTCAGCCCGAGCTTCTTGCACTCCTCCTCGTTCTGCACTTTCCACGCGTATTTCGCAGCACGAGTATCATAGCCATCTTCTTTGATTTTTGTGCTGCGTGCAACGAAATCTTTGGCATACACCTCATAGGCGGCAGTCTGCTTCACATCCGCATCCGCTTGCTTCTGACGTGCAGTCTCGGCGCGCCGTTCTTGCACCTCTTGGACCATTCGCCTTCGCTTCGCGTTTTCCTGGTCAACATCGAGGGCGAGAGCCTCTGGGACTCTTTTATTGCCACCTGCCACTGCAACACCGGCACCAGAGTTAGCATGTGGCTTGTAGTCGAGAGTGCTCGTGCGACATGCGTCCCAGTTAAGCTGCACCCAGGTCGACTTCTTGAGATGGTCAATCACCTCCTGTTCCTGCTGAAGCGTGAGCCACCCTCGGTGGGTCGATCCAGTGGCTTCCACTATTTCCTCCATGCGCTGGCGCTCTCGGGCCCACCTTAGGACTTCCCTCTCGTTCACCGTCGTGATGTTTGCTATTTCACGAGGTGACGCTCCTCCTTGTGCTAGAATTTGCATGCTAAAGAGAATGGCGAAGCTCCAATCTCTCCACCGTTGTCTCGCAAAGCTCGTTAGCTGCGGCAAGGCATATTTTCCGTGGAGTTGTAGTGTACCAGGCCAACCAGGAGGCAACTCCTCGAAGGCCCGCTTCTTATGCGCTCCACGGCTGAGGCGTGCCCTGCGACTCTCCGATATTTCGAAGCAGGCCCTCACGATAGTAGCATGTCGCGTCTCCTCGTTCAGTCCTTGGCGCCATCTGCTGCGATGGTCATGCCGGTTGTGAATGGACTCGAGGTACGTTGTGCGGCCCTCCTTCAAGACGACGGGTAGTTTTTTCGATCCTGCTGGCACAACAGCAGCCCCGAAGACGTGCTGCCCTATGTCGACAACCTCTCCTGGGTCAGCTGAGACAGCATCCACATCTGGGCAACGGCGCTGCTGCTCGTTTACTTGGCGCGCGGATTCTTCCAGGGTCTCCGCCTCGAAGAATGTACGCTCCTCCGGACAATTCAGGCACCCACTGTAGGCATGAACTCCAGTTTTTGTCTCCAGCTCCTTTTTTAGTTGTTCCTTCGCGTCACGCTCTATTTGGGCAGCCACTGTCAGATCTTTTCCTTCAGCTTCTGCTGCTGCGTTTTTTGCCAGCTTCCGCGCCCTCTTCTCCCAGAATTCTCCAAGCGCTCGACTGAGCCAACTTTCGTAGTTTAAGACTTGCTCCTGTACCGTGATGGGCAGCCTTGGCACATGCCTAGAAATCAGTCGCGACGTCAAGTGCTTCGTGGCTTCTTCAGCTGTGCCACATTTTTCCATCAGATGACGCACCAGCAACTTCATCCACGCCATGTCGAGTGGCCGCATCGCTGCAGAGAGCTCCATAATTAGAAATATATAAGAAACAAGCGAGGGCTATAGACTCGCACTAGGGTGGAAGAAGTAGACTGACCCTTTTGCCAGACGTAGACACATAGTAATTAGTGCTAACAATTGAATAAAGACGGGGCCGCGCCGCAAATGAACCGGCGACCCCCTCGAGTAGATACGGCGACGAAACAAATAGAAATAGACCTAGGAAGACAAAGGTAAGCCAGAGATAACTACTCACTAGACCATAATCGCAAAACCGCTCCGCGGACGCCGCCGGTCGAAGCCAACAGGCCTGCCACTGCTAGAAGAGTATGCCAATCATCTGCAAATATCTCGGGCTCCACCTCTGACAATGTTGCATAGGCTGCAACTGCTTCTCTCGTGGCAACTGTCTTTCTTGGTGCGCCTTGCGCTCGTCGTTTCCCCGTGCAACACGCTGCGCCATCTAGCCAGACACGCCTGATCTTCGGTTTTGGGAGCTTCTGCGCCTCACGCGCTTCGTCGACTTTCTTGAAGTGGTCACGCAGCTAAAATTAGAGAAAGAGAGACAACGAATGTATGGGGCCCCCCTCCGAAGTTTTTCAGGGGGCTCAGAGAATGAAGAGGCCGCAGCCAGGCTTCCTCCGCTTGGCTAGCTAGTAGCCAGACTGACCCTCATCGAGTGCCAATTCTAGTCAAGTAACTCCCTTACTCAGATTCAACCTAGCAACAACGGCTACACTGCGCCTACGTCCTCCATAATCGGCGAAAGACTTGGCTACACAGCTCGCCACGTCCACAACCTCACCCGTCTGCAGCACTGTCGTAGGAATGCACGCGTTACCAGTAGGCCGGAGGTTAGAAATCCGGCAACACGTTAGTGCGCCCATGAATACGATGCCAATACTTAGTTAGTAAACACCTTCAAAGTCAGTCTTACAATAAAACATTAGACAAAGCAAACCCGCTACGTCATGGGGGGCACTCGCGTTTCTTATCGCGAGCTTAGTTAGGCGTGACTGAGGTTAAGGTAGAAAACAAAAGTCGAGAGATATGTAGCAACTAACTGATCTCCCGTAAAAGTGTTGTCGCCACGCAGCGACTCCGCCTCAGAGAGACTGCGAGGGAGTGCCAAACTGATGGAATCCGCTACCAGATTGAAGTCGTAGACAACGTGGCTGCGGATGCATTCCGCAGAAGGTACGTGAACGAAGTCACGCGGGTCGGAAGTGATGGAGGTTTCTACTGGCGCGACAGCGTCTCCTCCCTTTCCGAAAAGTCCAAAAAATTCCTCTCGGGCTCTCTCGTTTTTCTTTTTCGGCTGCAGTGATGCCGATGCGCGCTGCCCTTCGATCGCGTCAACGATCGCCAAGTGCGTCGCCTTTGCTCGGGTTCGCAGCGTGGTGCGCTCCCCTGCGAAAGATGCCTTCCGTCTGTTGATGGATTTCGTTAAATCAGCCGCGAACAACATGCTGCCAGCAACACTTCGAGCAAAAGGCTGCTTCTCACCACCAAGAAGCCGCTCGAGCCTCTGAAAACGTAGCCGCCCGGCGTGCTTGGGACAGTTATGGACATACCTGGAGTCGGATAACAAGAGATAGCATAGACCCCGAACTCTCCAAAAAGAAACACAGAAGCTCTCTGTCTTGCACTAATGAAAACGATTCCCATAAACGAAATTCCTCACCCAATTCCTCGACTATCCTCTCCTCTTCTTCGCGCGCAGCTCGATGAGACGCTCTTTCTTCTGGCTCAATGAACAAAGAGGAAAAAATTGAAAATAATACCGGAAGCCGACACGATACGAGAGACCAGTCGCCTCTATGCACCGCCTCGGACCCTTTTCCAGGACACCCTTTCGGGCTACACGCAGACCACAGTCCTGGCGTAGTAAGTTGCAAAGCTCAGGGCATGGGTTATAAACTGCCACGCGCGTCCTCTCAGCATACGCTTGCTCAGCTGTATTCTCGCCCAAGGCTTTCAACGTGCGGAGCCCTAGCGAATACTGACCAGACGGGACACGCGTCCACATGGAGCGCGAAGCATGAAGCACTCCGGGAACCGGCGAAGAATCATGCGCAAAACGTTCAAAAAAACCACACGCCACGGCGACAGATACTCAAGCTGGCGCAGCAGCTTCCGCAGCGAAGGGCATTGTCGGGAAAACCTGAGTGGGGGCGTATAATTATTTGTTTCTTTGAGGGTGTTTGCTAGATAGATACCAGAAGGCCACGCCCATGCTGGAGGCATGTGGGCGGCCATCAAATGAAGCAGTTATTGGCCCTGCGTCCATGATGAAGCGAAGAAAACACACATAGCCACGACCCTCATAAGACCTGCGGTGTCTTCTTTAATGACAAGCCCCACCTGCGACAATCATGAATAAAACCAGACTATTATTGGAACCCGCTCAACTTCCGCCGCTTTTTCGGGACCCAGTCGCGACATGTACTTTGCTCGCTGTTCTAGCCACTTGTCACGCAAGAGCCTTTTGCTCGCCGCAACGTCCGCAGCCTTGTCGATCTGACCAACCTCATCGACCTCACCCCCACCATCAGTCGCGAGCGCCGTGGCCTTTTCTGGTTTTCTCCTGCACAACGCTTGGACGCCTATCTGTGTGAGGCGGTTGCTTTGCTTTGCAGTGTAGGAGTGTGATTTGTCAGGGCCATCATGCAAGAAGGCGATCAAGTTCCACTCTGGTCCAAGTGCTCCTCTCCCTCCGAATAGCCCAAAGAAGTCATCACCTAGGTGAAAGCCAGACGATTCTAGCAAATCCGGGCTGATGCCTCGAACGGTGACACATTCGAGGCTGGGCGCGTCTTTTAGCGTTTTTTCCAGATTCGGCACTGCTGCAAAGAGACTCGATCTTTACTGCCACCAAGGTTAGAGTTATGAAGATGGTGCCCCGATGCAGGAGCCACTCAAATTGGATGGCCTGGATCAAGACAACCAAGAGGCGCAGAAGCGCTCAGACTAATTCTCGAGAGAAGCTCTTATATATTCTCTCCCCACGAGGCTATATAAATACTTAATACAAAAAGAAAACCGAGAGCGAGGACACGAGTTGCGGCCGTTATGGTGGGCTCCTTGCCCCTATTTATTCACTAAAAAAGTCTTTGTCTGACTACACCAAAGCCTTAAAGCATGCCGCTCCCTTTCATCTCGGCCGCTACCGGCAGTTGGGTACTGTAGCTCATGCACTTGAAAAAGGAGAGCCTCCTCGCGATAGTTCATCTCCACCAGTCCCATGCGCGACATGCTGCGCACTGGCTGGCCCAACGCCTGAAGCGAGTCCAGGGACGCATGCTCCGCCGTCGTTTCCTCATCTGAGGCCAGACCTGCTAACAGAAACCCACCAGCGATGTCCGTCTCAGTGGCCTCAGCGTCACCACTGCCGAAGGGTTCATGTTGTCGGAGATGCGGCTCGATCTCCTCCTCTTCATCCTCGAAGATGCACAGTCCCGGCTGTGCTTCGTGCTGTAGTTCGTGTTCTGCGTCAACGCTTGGCCCTGCGCGCGTCTTTGAAGATGTTGAAGAAAATGCGGAAGAAGATGGCGACGAAGGAGGTGCGGCAGGTGCAGGCGATTCTTTGCTACCACTAGATGTAGACGCGGCGGCTGCCGTGCAAGGTTCTTCACTACTAACGGACACGGCGGGCGCCGTGCAAGATTCTGTGCTACTACTAGATGTTGCGGAAGCAGGAGCCGCGCAAGGTTCTGCGCCACTACTAGACGCTGCGGGAACCGCGGGCGCCGTGCAAGCCTGTGGGCTACTACTACACGTTGCGGGAGCGGGTGCCGAAAGAGATGCCACCTTACTACTAGACTCTGCGGAAGCGGGTGCTGAGGGAGATGCTTTGCCATTACTCCCCGGAGAGGCGGCACACGTAAACAAGACTAAGCCTCCTTCTTCACCACTACCCTCATCAAGAAGAGTGCCATCGCTCCGTCGTTCAGCATCAGGGTTTTGGTAGTTGTGGTCGTGAGAGCGCGCAGTCCCATCTAATGCATCCACCAACTCCCTGCAGCTGCTGCTGCTGCTACCGCTGCCGACTGCACTCTCGCGACCCATGGGGCCGAGCGATTCGACGTCTCCACTTTGTGTTTCCAAGTCGCGCTCGTCTCCGAGCGTGCTCCTCTTAGCCACAGGAGCAACGAGTGCTGGGCACTTCTTTACTAGGAGACCCACCACCTCGGCCGCAGTGGTTTTTGGAGGCTTCCTCTGTTCCCGATGAACCGGATCAGGGTTTGCCATCTTTCCGATGTTCTCACGCTTTGAAGGGATTGAGACCTGAATCCCCCGCTTCGTCGACAGGCCATCCCATTTGAGCGCTGTCTTTTTCCCACGAAGTTCGGGCCTCGAGTCCCAGGTCTGCCAGACAGCGACGCTAAAACTGTGGCCGTCCATTTTTTCCTACACACGAAGGAAAAGAGGAGCAGCGGCTTCAATATCTTCTATGCTCAAGAAACGCACGCCATGATCTAAGCTAGTCACTTCTTTTTACAAAAATCATGCAAGAAATTCTGGAAATTCTCCTAGGGTAACGCAAAAAGCGATAAAGGGGGCACCTCAAGAATCGAGTAAAATCATCGTCCTGCCTATGAATGATGGGCCTAGTGAATAACCAAAGAAGACGAAAAACATCGGAGAACGGCTAGTCAATCAATAGAGCGGAAGTCTCTCTCTCAGAGGGAACTCCCGCTATTTTCTGAAATCCAGAAGCGTGCGCCATCAAACAAAATCAGACGACCACGCTACCGGCTGACTCTGCGCATCCATACTAGGCTGCGCGGTGCAGTCACGTCACCAGGGGAAAGAAGGTCTGCATGCAAAATGACATAAGGGCGAAGGTGAAGACAATTCCGAGTGGTTTCTTTGCATGACATCTCCGAGGTTTTTGCGTTTTGATCTCGTCGGGCTCTACATTCATCGAAGCGAGCCATATCTCGCGTAGCTAGAGTGGCTGACCATGGATAAAGCTCTGACCTCGAAAAGTTCGAAGGCCTTTTCATGCAAGCCATCTTCTCAAAAAACCCCACCCAGAGTGCTGCTCGCAGCCGCCTGCGCCGTGACTCCATATTTCTGAAAGGCTTCGACAGTGGTTGCGCAGATAGTCCAATCCCACTCTGGTCCGATTTTCCACTTCATGAGCGCGAAGCGCGGGCCTAAGAGCCACACCGTTCGCGCCTCTCCTGATCCTCGGCACGCCCGCCCAACGAATTGACGCGTCGACCTTATCGTCGTGGCCTCGGATTGCTCGTCGTCCCATGGTCGTTGCCCCGATGGCAGCGGATACGGACAACCAGCCATCACGAAATGCTCCGCCGACGCTAGTCTGTTGCTCCCCTCCAGAAGTTAGAGTGCTGACTGAGAGCCTTACTTAAGGTTAATGCACATCAATCCAAATAATATAAACTAACACCACGTGACCCACGAACAGACAAGAACAGGACCACCCACACGCAACCAGCAACAAACCCAAACAACCAAAACGACAACGACCACACCCCCACAATGCCACCAGAGAAACCACACAACCCACGGCGCCGTGGGCCCTCTCGTCCCAACGAACAACGAAAAAACACGACGGACCACCCGAAGACACACCAGGCCCCCCAACTAGAGAAACAGGAGCCGCCACACCTGTCTGGGCAGTCTTGGACCACACACCTCCACCCCAAAAACCCGACACCCCCACCACGAACCTCGAGACACACAGAAACCCGCTGACGACGAGGCGCGAAGCAAGCCCGCAAGCTCCTCCACTCCTTGCACATTTTCAAAATGTGCAAGGAGTGGAGGGGCTCGGGAGGTCCTTCTTTTTGTCTCCCCTTCAATGATCAAGGGAGACAAAAAGAAGAAGACGAGAAAAACACCCAGAGAAACCCCGGAACCTTGTGCAGAAACAGACAGACCACCTGGCGGATTTTGTTGGATTCTGCTCCTGAGATTGCAAAATGGGCCCCATTTGCAATCACAGGAGCAGAACCCAAGAAAATTTGCAGGGGAACCCGATCACCAACGCACGAGGATCCGACTGGAGTCGACTGAAGAAAGAGAGACAGGAAAGCAACCAACCGACACCGGAGCCTCATGCTGCCACGCGAGACCACAAAAAAGGCGGAACCTAGTGCGCCCAGCTCTCTTGGCTTTGGTTTTTTTTGTTGGAATTCCGTGGGGGTCATGCAAATTCTGGCGGATTTGCATGACCCCCACGAAATTCCAACAAAAAAAACCAAGACCAAGACGGCCGGCCGCACTAGGCTCCGCACTTTTTAGCGCAAGCCCTCGCCGCTCTCGAGGTCGCTCCCTTACCACTTTCGACAACCCTAGGAGCCTGCTCGGGTCCGAGAACCCGACAACCCCGAGAAACCTCGGAGCCTGCTCGGGTCCGAGAACCCGACAACCACCAAAACCCCAGGAGCCTGCTCGGGTCAGAGAACCCGACAACCCCAAAAACCCGGGGAGCCTGCTCAGGTCCGAGAACCCGACAACAACAAAAACCGAGAGAGCCTGCTCGGGTCCGAGAACCCGACAACCACAAAAACCCGAGGAGCCTGCTCGGGTCCGAGAACCCGACAACCAGGAAAACCCGGGGAGCCTGCTCGGGTCCGAGAACCCGACAACCACAAAAACCGAGGGAGCCTGCTCGGGTCCGAGAACCCGACAACCACAAAAACCGAGGGAGCCTGCTCGGGTCCGAGAACCCGACAACCACAAAAACCCCAGGAGCCTGCTCGGGTCCGAGAACCCGACAACCACAAAAACCCGGGGAGCCTGATCGGGTCCGAGAACCCGACAACCACAAAAACCGAGGGAGCCTGCCTCCACAAACCGCCGGTCCGCTACACCTCGAGAGCGCCTAGAGCTTGCTGCACTTAAAAAGTGCGGAGCCTAGTGCGACTGTCCGTCTTGCCTTTCGTTTTTTTTGTTGGAATTCCGTGGGGATCATGCAAATTCTGGCCGATTTGCATGACCCCCACGGAATTCCAACAAAAAAAACCAAGATCAAGACGGCAAGCCGCACTAGGCTCCGCACTTTTTAAAACAAACCTTCCCCACTCTCGACCGAGGTAGCTCCCTTCAACGGTAAGGGCACCCAGCTGAAAGAGCTGAAAGGGCTGCGCCTTTGGCGGAGCCCTGTCATCCCTTTGCCAACCACCACTGTGCTATATATATTATAAGCTATTCTGTTATACGCGACAGATTTTGAAAACTTGTTTCGTATAAGAAAAAAAAGTAAAGAGAGAAGGAGTCAGAAGAGAGCAAAGACGAAGCCTGCGTCTTAAGTGAACTTCCCACTGTGCACGACGAAGAACAACCCAGAAACAGGGGTGCTCGGCTGTTGATCTCCTTGGCCTTCGACCAGAACGTCGGGAAGCTGGTCTTCCGCTTGTCGCGCGAACTCCTTTGCCGACGCATAAGAGACACAAGCAACGACGACCAGCCCCGTGCGCTGCGTTTTCTTCCAAAGATGGACACAAAAGCGGACCACTTCAGCCACGTACGTGCGGCGTTCACTGATAACGAACTTCAGGTCGAATGTACTTCGACGGAGGAGGCTTACGGCACCTTCCTGCGACAGACTCGAGACCGCGTTGCAGATCACCATGACCCGCGCAGGCCCATCTTTGAGTTTAAAAACTCGAACGCCCTTCACATCTGAACCGAGGACCGCCTCAGCCTGGGCCATCGGCGGGGTCAACGCATCAGGAAACATCGTCCCAGACATGAGAACTAGCGTGGCTGACTTTGCGATCTCTCCGAAGATGGCGGACCTGGAAGCGCCACCCACTGCCGTCAGCTTATCCAATGACCACTCTGCTGGGCTCACAGAGGTAGATAAACTAGAAGTAGAGCGACTGCTGCCACTACTGCTTCCGGACGTCACTGGAAACGGACCGCGGGTGCTGGCCGGCGTTTTTAGAAGTAGCCGAAAAGATTAGAAGATCTACGAAGCTAGCCAAGAAACTCCGACGAAGTAGAGACATCACGGGCGCACACAGCAGCCGCCCCCTGCTACTTAGTCAAACCGATCTGAGATGAATCATATAAAAACCCTACTCGGTAGCCTTTCATAACATGAGATAAACCTTTGCCCCCGGGGCTTTGAGCGTTTGGCGAAAAGCATGCGGGACCGAACTGTCTGCCTCGAGGCTTTTCAGCTCTTCAACGACCTGTAGACTTATGGGTTGTTCGTAAGTTATGCCAGCACTGTGCTCACAGCAACACGCTCCCACTCTGATGTAGAAAGTCCGCTACTTCTAGCGAATGCTTGCGCTATTAACTAGCCAAATAAAAAACTCGACGAAGGCCAATCATAGTAAAGACGTAAGTACCACACTGGGAAGCTCCACCGGCCATCGGCGGTCGCGGTGTCGTGCTTTTTCTATCTCCAAGAGCAGCACGCATCGAGGATGTGGCGCCGGGGCGGTCTCCGCAGCCGTTACCACGCTTGGTATTGTATTAGAAAGGTGGATTAATAAGAGTAGATGGCTGGAGCTTAACAATGTGAGTAATTCCTTAGCCAACTTCTGTCTCATCTACATACTGGGAAAGGAGACGCTCAGTACTTAGTGGCAACAGCTTCAACATGAGAAAAGGGCTACTAGCTCGACTCAGTTTAAATATCAGCTTAACGCTGTGGGCCTCGTCGAAGATGACGAGCTTCGTCCCGCTCAAGAGCTCACGCCGCGCACTTTCTAACCCCGGCTGCAACCAATAGGGAAACGTAGTAACCAACACGCTATATCGCTGTAAAAAGAGACTGAACGCAAGGTCGTGAGGGGGTACGAAACACAAATCAAAACGAGACGAAGTCAAAAATTTTTCTGGTCGAAAACAAAGCCGAAGGAGATAGAATGAACCGCCACCGAATACAGCGAATTGGCCTACGAAGGTCAACTAAAGTAATTAACTTCAACGTATCACATTCCGGGCACCTTTGTAAGCCGCTTGTGGGCATAATACGGACACGACGCTCGCCGCTGTCCTTCCTCCCGGAAACGAGTGACACCAGTGGCGATGTCCTCGATGTCGGCCCAGTCAAGGTTCTTGTGGAAGCTGCAACCACCAAGCCCGGCGATCTTGTTGCTGCGCGCTAGGTCGGGGTCCTCGTTTGCCGCAACCTCCGGAACGAGACATAGTTCGCGTCGACCTGTGCGGACCATCGCGCGAACACCCATCTTTTTGGCCTCAGCTAAAATATTGCGCCCCTGCTCATGCGTCCGCGTTACAGTCGCAGTTCGACCAGACACATCACAACGCACACTCCGGCTTAGTGCGAGGCTGATCGCCGTCTTTCCCATGCCCGTTGGCAACTGCGCCACGACGTGGAACCCTTCGTCGATTGCACGCGCCATTTTCGTGGCAGCATCCAGCTGCTGCGGTCGTGGCGCCAAAGGTGCGAACGCCGCGAGGAGCGGGCTTACAGGCTGCTGCGCAGCAATCTGCTCCTCTGGCGCGTCGTTGTTCGCACGACGCTTCTTCAAGCCCGACGGGCTTGCCAGCATTCTGTCTCAAACTACAACTGCTACTACGACGCATAATATTCACGAAAGCAGATTACTCGTAGGGCCGGGTCGACTTTCTTGAAAATAAAACAACAAACATAATCGAGGATCACTATGGGCTGAATCAAGCGCGAGAAGAGACAGTGAATAGCTATGCAAATAACTGCGAAAAGAAACCAAAACCAAATGAGTTACGAGGAGGCTCCTGCGAAGTATGGGTGTTGAGATTGGGTTACTCGACGGCGGAATCCGAATCGTCGAGCTATTCATAAGATAGACCATACATAAATAACCTTTACCAGGCGCGCGGCTGAGCAGGGATCATCATCAGTCACCAGCATCATCATCGATCACTACCAACACGCCGGAACTTCTGGCGATCGTCATCATTGATTATCCAGCACCGTCGAGCTATCACTACCAACGCGCCGACGGAAAGGGGAGCGCCATTGTCATCAAATCACTATCGTCAATAGCCAACTTCCTACAACCTACTTAGCGAAATTTCCGACGATAGATCTAGCCTCTCACATTGCAATTGCTTCGTTGGGAATTGAATGCCCTGGCTGGTTGGTAGGCAGGAACTGGGCGAGGAGCTTTTATTAAGGACCGGACGAGCGTGAGCGACCTGTTTGCATTCTATTCTAGAACTGGGGCGCCCTTCGTGTCTCTATTTTCAACGCGTTTTCTGTTTCGTTTTGATGTAGCGCCGGACTTCAATTTTCATTTTGGGCCATTTCTGGATCTTCAACGCGTAACGTGATTAGCTACTCTTTTTGTCATTCGAAGCGAAGAGAAAAATGAGAGGGGAGACGGCCGAAGAATAGATGTCTATTCAAAAAACCAGCGGGGGAACAGGCGGCCTTATCAAAAAGCAGCGCGGTTTTTTGGGGTGGACATCTCTCTCTCTCGTGCACCAGCGACGTTTTGGCTCACAGTTCTCTTTCGCACAACCGAGAAGAGCAGACGCACCAAGCTGAAAGAGACCGACTAAAAAACCGAACAGCGCAATTTCCTGTAGCTTCATCGGCTTTCAAGTGTTTCTTTGGGGGTGCGCCTTGCTTCAGCCTCTCTCTCTTTCTCTTTCGCGTTTGCGCCTCCTTGCTTAGTGATCGGTAGACGCGTCTACTTTCTGGAAAATTGGCCGATTTTTCAATTTTCGGAAAATTGAAGACCTGCTAGAAGGTGTTCTAGAATTCCTAAACTTTTTTCCCTTTTCAGACTGTCAAGAACACTGAGGCTGGAGGGGTTTCAGCGCTTCAAGCTTTTGGCCCTCCTAGTGCGCGTCGGCTTCTAATTCTTTGCCCCTTCTTCTCGTGCCCAACGGGCTGCGGCAGATCGCTGGTCTTCATACTGTCCGCGGCTCTACTTCTTCCACCTTCTTGTGTTGTTCTTCGGCTTGGCACACATCTTCTGCCCTCTAACTACTTGCAGAACCATGAAAGCCCCTGCCTGTTCCTCTGTGGTGCGCGCTCTCCACAACGAACAAGACCGAGACACGCTAGCAGCCCAGCTCTGTGGGCAATGCTGCGCCATGGGTGAAGTTGTGCGCCAAGCACCAATGACCAGCCCATCTGATGCAACACGAAGAACGAATCACACCCACGCCCCACACTAGAGCCCACACAACTCTGAGCGTGTTGTCACAGTCGCTCGGGAATCCTGTCAGCCAACGGCGTGAACACGTCACACGCGGCGCCCCATCTTACGCCCAGCGCGCGTTTTTTGCTGACGCGTAAGGCCCGCATCTTGGCGCCCCGACTGGCTAGCAGAATGGCTCCCAGGTGCAGCAGCTAAGCCGACCGCCCTTCTGTCACTGTCGCCCAAATCCGAGCAGCCTCCCCGATTGCAATCGACTGCACGCACACACACCACCGACAGACGGGCAAGGCCCTGAATGTCACCACGCAACTGAAGGGGGCCGCCTTATCCTTATGCCCAAGTGACTGCCACCTCCTTCATGGTGATAGGGCGCAGACACTACCAAAAGCCCCAGCCGCGGTCGTCGGCGCTTCTCTCCCAGCGCGGTCACTCTGTTGACCTGATGGACGGGGCCTACCATGTCGAACACCACTCCAGCACGCGGCTAGGCACTAGAAGAGCCACCCTGAATGGTCGAGAGTATTTCACTGAGCCAGCCGAGATGGCATTGACAGAGAGAGCCCGCCGTTGTTATCGAGGGAATAGGACTGATTCCTGTTTGTGCTCACTTTGCCGGCCCGAAAGTCGCTAAGAATATCTTCGACAAAGACAGAATAAAGGTGCCTGCGCCTGTCATTGCCACTGTCAACTGTCACAAGACTACCCACCCTATCCCACCGAGGGTGAAGGTCGGAGTAGCCAGCTGGGAGCCAGGCGATTAGCCGCGCCTGCGACGCTCGCCGATCGAATATATAGAGGTGCTGCATACGTTGCTTCCGAGAAATCGCTCTGCTCAGGGGCCCATCTTCGGTAGTACCAGCACGGGCGCCCAGAAAGGGCTTCGGGTAGGTGTCTGACAAGATAAATCTTCCTGGGCCTGGCACGTCGAAATTTGAAAAAGTGGGGTGCCCGTTGACACGCGTAAGTGGGTCAGCGTGGACGGTGTGCAACTTGTGCTCTTTATATTCCCAATACCGGTTGTTAACACACAGTAGCGTGTTGCTATAGCCGTAATCATGGTGCGAGACACAGCCATCTTTGCCTGACTTTGATACGAGATGCATTTTCTTGGTGTGGATATTGATCGTTACGCCATATGTGAACCGGTCATCAAGGGTCTTCCCATGCTGCTCGCGGTAAAGAAAGATCAGCTCCGTAGAGTCCCGGCTCCACTGGGCGTGGTTGATATACCGATACCAGCTCCTCTTGTGACGCCGCAGAACTCCCTCGCCCACCAAGAAAGCTGCCACGTCACTCACAGAGATTAGTTTGGAAACTTGTCCACTAGCGAGATCCAGTACCGCGAGGAACTGCGAGGAATCCTCTGCAATGAGGTGGGCTGCAGTGGAGCAAAAATTTCCGAGATTCTCGCTAGCGTACCCGTATTGGGAGCAGATATTTAGGTGTGTGTAGTTCAGCACAGCTGCCAAAGCTCCATCATGGGAGAGTGAGTAGATGGGTGCAGCATACTCTTTTAACACTTTCCCACTCAGCGCGGCGACCCTTGCTTGTGAATGGTTCCGGTATTACGTAACCTGAGTTTGATCCTAAAGAAAATAAGAAGAAAATACTTAGGATTAAACTCAGGTTACCAATTACCAGAACCGTACAGCTTGAAAGAAATCACTATTGCCTGTCCGTGTGTTGAAGATAATATCTTCGCCAACCCATTGCGCCTGTGCACCTTGGTGCACATTCCATGCTGTTGTTTCTCCTATTTTGTGGAAAGGGAAACCCACAGTGTCCCTCTGTTCACAGAAGTCGATGAACCCGATTTCGAGCACAGGAAATGGCTTTCTATTATCGCGACAACCTTGGTACCAACCAGACGCTTCCGCATTGTCAATTCGGGCGCTAACTCTCGTTCGTGAGACCAGCACACGGGTGCCATCGGGTGCGAAATTTGTCTTATCAAAATAACCAAAAAAGAAATCGTAACGGTTTCCTAAACTACCTGTAAGCTGCAGAGTCCGCCTGGCTGGACCTGTGGCATCCCTGTGTCCTATGTTTTGAAGTACCTGGGCAGCCGTGCATCGGGGCCTCGGCTTTTGATGCTTGGGCCTGGCATCTTGCGGGTATGTCTTGATAGCATGTGCGCCTGCTGTTGTCGTCGGGATCGGTCGGCTTTCAGATGCTTTTTGCGTTTGTGTCTTGGATTCGGGGGTGGCGCTGCCTGCGCGAACTGCTTCTGCATAGCGCCGCTTTGGGCAATAGAAAGTCGGGGTGCATCGCATCGACAAAAAACGCCACGCCAGACTAAATTGTAAGAAAAAGAGAAAGCTAGAGCATGGCCCCATCCCTTTTCGTCACAGAGGTATCTGCGTTTCCTTTCTTGAAAATTTTACGCCTTAAGACGAGAAACAGAAAGACAATAGGCAACGACAAATGTGTTAACGGCAGACAAATGGGCAACTCTTTGGGGAACCTTCATGGTGTTGGCTCACTATCCCGATGACCTACCATCGCTACTGAGCAAAAGGCGCCACGCTTGTGATATTGACCAAGTGTGTTCCCGTCAGTAATGCCTTCGTTAGAGCTACGACGCGGCCCCCCATGCTGCAATTTTCTCCGCATATCAAGGCGCCTGAGCTGCCGTGGGGGAAGAGCTTGTTGTGCTACAGCAGAGCCTCTGCACCCCAAGCCGAGGCAGCACCAGAGAAACCTGCCCCCCTGCAGTTCCGCTCCCGATACCCTCACCACTCTTGGAGGCAGATCCCATATGAGAAAAAAGCCACAAAGTACTCGCGATTTGTCGAAGCTGACACAAATACGCAGAGAGACCACAAGCGCCAGCTGTCTATACCTCTCGGGCACAGCTCTTGCGTTAGAGCGCGGCGCCCTCTTGTCTTAGACAGAGCAAACCGCGAGAAAAGACTCTGAAGCACTCACCTGCTGTAAGTAGGCGGCGATCATTATACTGCCTCTTTTGAGGGTCGAAATCCCTGCAACTTGCTAGGAGAACGCACCCGCGCCCACCCTCGCTTCCCCGCAACTCCCAGAGCGGATCTGCAGAGAAAGCCGCAACCCCTCCACACGAAGAGTAGACCCCCTCGAGCAAGACGACCCCGACACCCAACCGCGCCTGAAATTGAAAAGGCTTCCCTTCGATCATGGAAAAAATTTGGCCACTTTGTCTCTGTTGTGTTAGTTTGTTTCTATGCAAGAACGCGGCCCAACGTCGACTCGTCTGGGTGACAGACTCATAATTTCTCCACACATTGCGACCACGCCGCGCACCCACTGTAACCACGCTACACATGAAAGCGCCACCCACTGCGACCACCCCACACACCTCAACAACCCCACAGACCCGCGAACGTCGGGCGCCGCTTTGCCCACAGTGACAACCCAACACACTGCAATCTATCACCCAACGCAGCGCGACCCCTACCCAAGCTGGCACCGCTTCGCAGATTCGTGTGGCCGCTTCGCTCACACAAGCCCGATCACATCAGCGGCACACACTGTGACCATTTCACACCATGCGACCGCTTCAACCATGGCGGCTGCCACTGCATGCGCTGACCCCTCCCACACTTTCCACCAAGCAACTCAGACACTGCGGCCTTTCCACGTCCTGCGACCACTCTGCACACTGGCTTCGACAGCCCCACACGCCCACCGCGAGCGCGACCACGCCACGCAATGCGGCTACCGAAGTCACACATTGCACCCAAGCAGAGCGCCCACTGCGACCGCCATGCCCACTGCGGCCACCGACCACGCTGGGTGCAGTCGCCTCATGCGGAACGACCACGCCCTGCAATCCACCCACTCGATATAATACGACCACCACGCCCACTGCGGTCGCCTCGTGCGCGACGACTGCGCCGCGCACTGCGACCGACCCACCCCAAACCAGCAAGACAAACGAAGCCAAGAAAAGCCCTCGAAGGTGTGCGCCTGGGATTCTACTGGAGTCCGCTGCTATGTTTAAAGAAAGCCGACTGCACTAGGCAGTCTCAGGAGGAGGGCACATTCATAGAAAACACAACAACGCGGAGCCCTTCGTGGTGTTATGGCGCCCGAGGTCTCTAACATGAGAGCACGGGGCGGGCGGGCCCAGAAAGTACAGTGCCAGCCGCTTGCCAACAGTAAAGTTCCCCCACGCGGGTCACTCCTTGCGCCTTCTCTAGGGTAGAAGGGCCGCGCGAGCCTTATGAATTTCACAACCCACTGATGAGCCTGGGCCCCCCAATCCAGAGACGGAGCGCAGAAGCACCTTGCCGGGGAGACAGATTTCTTGGCTGAGGGTTACTTTCCAGATTTATGCGAAAGCCGCGCTGATTTCTGCCACTATAGCAATACCCTGGACAGCCCGTACTCTGGCCCCAAATGCAAAAAGCCCAAAATTGCCCAGAAGCTAGCCCCAAACTTTCCCAAAAGCCCAAAACTTTCCCAAAAGCCTGAAGCTTTCGCAAAAGCCCCGGAACTGCCCACAAAAAGAAAAAGCCGAAACTTGTTCACAAACCCAAAGCCTTCGCAAATCCCCAAAACTGCCCACAAGCCTAAACTTTTCCAAAAGCCCAAAACTTTCCCAAAATCCCAAACTTTTCCAAAAGCCCAAAACTTTCCCAAAATCCCAAAACTTTCGCTCCCAAAAGCCCCGACTCCCCCAAAGGCCCAAAACTGTCCAAATTTTTTCAAAAGCCCAAATCTTGCCCAGAAGCCCCGCCAAACTTCACCAAAAGGCTGGCCCAAGAAACCTTCCCAAAGGCCCAAAATAATTTCCCAAAAGCCCAAAACCTTCCCAAAAGCCCGAGGCTTTCCCAAAAGCCCAAAAGTAAACCATCCCAAAGGCCCAAACTTCCTCAAAAGGAAGACCAAAGCCTATCAAAAGTCCCAAAATTGCCCAAAAGGCCCAAAGCAATACCCTAGGAGCGGTGAACCCTGGCCCCACTAATCAAAAGCCCTAAAATTGCCCAGAACTGAAGCAAGCCCTAAACTTTTCAAAACAATGGAAAGCCAAAACCTTCCCAAAGGCCCAAGATTGCCCAAAAGCAGGCCCAAACTTTCCCAGAATCCCAAATAAAACTTTCCCCAAGAGCCCAGACTCCCCCAGCAGCCCCAAACGTTCCCAATACCCCAAAATTGTTCAGAGGCCGCAACGAAAACTTTTTCAAAGGCCAGAAATTGCTCGGAAACCCCAAACTTTTTCAAAGGCCAGAAATTGCTCGGAAACCCCAAACTTTTTCAAAGGCCCAAAATTATCCAGAAGCCCAAAACTTTCCCAAAAGTCCAAAACTGCCAAGGACAAGGAGCCCAAAACTGCCCAGAAGCCCAAAATAAACTTCCCCAGAACAAGGCCCAAAATTGCCCAGGAGCCCAAAACTTTCCCAAAAAGCCCAAAACTGCCCAGAAGCCCAAAACTTTCCCCAAGAATTATAGCTACCGAAGACATTTCGCACCCAGACCCCAAAACCAAAAAGCCCAAAACTGCCCCGAAGCCCAAAGACTTCCCAAAAACCAAAAACTTTTCAGAAACCCAGAAGCCCAAAACTTGCCGGGAAACTCCCAAAAGCCCGAAACTAACTACCCAGAAGCCCGAAACTTTTTCAAAAGACCAAAATCGCCCAGAAGGGGACCCAAAACTTACCCAAAAGCCAAAAACTGCCCAGGAGCCCAAAACTTTCCCAAAAGCCCAAAACTTTTCTGCAGCCCCAAACTTTTTCAAAAGCCCCCGACTTTTCAGCAGCCCCAAACCCTTTCAAAAGCCAGCTGCCCCGAAGCCCAAAACTTTTCCAAAAAGCCTCCCAACACTACGACTACCCAGAAACCCAAAACTTTCCCAAAAGCCTAAAAATACCCAGAAGCCCAAAACTTCAACAAAAGCTAGCCCAAAACTGCCCAGAAGCCCAAAACTTTCCCAAAAGTAAGTCGAAACCTTTTCAAAAGCCCCAACCCACACAGGCCCACAACCCAAACAGACCCACACCGACACAGTCCCACACCCAAACAGACCCACACCCAAACAGACCCACACCCAAACAGACCCACACCCGAACAGACCCACACCCAAACAGACCCACACCCAAACAGACCCACACAAACACACAGTCCCCCCCTGTTGTGCCGTGGAACACAAGTGCAGACTTGTAAAACGCGCCGGGTGACGTGTTAGCTCTCTCATTCGTGTAATCCTGTAGAAGACTGCGAAGCTGATAAGTTGGCACGACATGAGTGCACTCGTTTTCGTTATGCTTTGACTCCTTCAGCGTTTGGGCTCTCGAGGTGCTCTGATCAGAAGTTTCTTGTGCAAGACAAACAACAGATAGCATTCCCGTAGCCAAAGAAACAGAAAAGAACACACCAAAAGAAAGACAGAAAAAGAATCATCCCGATGCTGAAAGAAAGGCTTGAAGTGTGCGGACGGTGTGGGAACACAACACCCACACCCACACAGACCCACACAGATCCACACCCACACCGACCCATACCCACACAGACCCATACCCACACCGAGCCACACCCACATAGGCCCACAGCCCACACAGATCCACACCCACATAAGCCCACAGCCCACACAGAGCCACACCCACATAGGCCCACAGCCCACACAGATCCACACCCACACAGGCCCACAACCCACACCCAAACCGAACCACACCCACACCCCACACAGACCCAAACCGCACACAGACCCACACCCACACCGACCCACACCCCTACAGGTCCACACTCACACTCACAACCCACACCGAACCACACCCCCATTTCACACAGACTCACACAACCCACACAGACCCGCACCCCAAGAAGACCCATAACCCACACAGACCCACAAACCACACCGATCCACAACCCATACCCTGCACCGGCCCACACCCTACACAGACCCCTAACCCACACAGGCCCACAACCCACACAGACCCATAACCCACACAGACCCACAAGCCACACAGACCCGCATCAACCCACACAGACCCGCGACCCACACAGACCCACACATCACGACAGCAGAACAATACCCATCACCACAACAACACCGGACGTCGCGACCAACTATGCCCACGACAACGGCCACGACCATTGTTGCAACACAGTCACAAGCCCACCCAAACCTAAAATAGACCACGGCGCCCCTAGCTAGGGCCGCTCTTTCCAAGCAATGAATCCGAGCGGGTGGACCCTCTGAAAGTGGTTGGCCCGGTCGGAAAGTCGGAGGCCGACCCGACCCGTTTGACAGCGGCGGGGGGCCGCGCAGCGTGGTGGGACCTTTTCGAACGAACGACACCAACAACACACCCACCCAGGCAACCACGTCGACCGACCGGCCCTGCCACCTGGCCGAACGGCCGACAACACACCCCAGGCAACCAAGTCGACCGAGCAAACGGCCCTGCGCTGCCCCCTGACCGTCCGACCGAGAACACACCCCCGGCAACCATGCCGACCGGCCTGCCACCTGGCCGACCGATCGACAACACACCCCACGCAACCAAGTCGACCGAGCAAACGGCTCGGCGCTGCCACCTGGCCTTCCGACCGACAACACACCCCCGGCAACCGTGCCGACCGGCTTGCCCTGCCGCCTGACCGACCGACCGACACTACCACCAACCGACCGTCCGACAACACACCCCAACCAACCACACCGACCGACCGACCGACCGGCCCTGCGTGCCACCTGGCCGACCCACCGACCGGCAACACATCCCGGGCAACCATGCCGACCGACCAACGGACTGAGGCTGCCACCGGGCCAACCGACCACCCGACCTGACAACACACCCTCCCCGGGCAACGAACCACGCCGACCGAGCGGCCGGCCCTGCCACCTGCCAGACCAACTGACCGGCCGACTGACTACTTTTTGAGCGACCGACCCCCCGAGTTCGACTTCACCACAACACACCTCACCCCCCCCATTGACCTGATTGGCGTGGTCGGTCGGTCGGCAGGAGTGCCCCCGCCATCACACAGCACACCCATCACCGACCGACCGGCCCCGGCCTGCAGTCGGGTCGCTCGAAAACACCACACCACACGGCCCCCCGCCGATGTCAATCGGGTCGGGTCGGCCGCCGACTTTCCACCCGGCTTTTCGACCGGCCCGACTATTTTGAGAGGGCCCACCCGCTCGAGATGACTCTTCTTTTCCTTCCTAGGGCTTGTGTTAAAGGCCTAGCGACATGGCCAACAACTTGTAATGAGAGAGCGAGACTCGCTGGATTTGACCCCGGACCTGAAATGGGTTCCCAGAACAAGACCCCTGAAACACTCAAGGCCCCTGAAACAAGGCCCCTGGAGCAAGTTTTCTGGGGCAAGGTTTCTGGGGCAAGTTTTCTGGACCAAGGGTCCGGGCACAAGGTTCCTGGAGCAAAGTCTCTGGAGCATCAAAAGCCTCCAGAACTTCAAAAACCCGCAGAACCTGAGAAACCTGCAGAAGCTCAAAAACCTCCAAAAGCTCTGGAATCTCCAGAGCCCCAAAAACGTCGAGAACCTCAAAAGCCTCCAACACCTCAAAAACCTCCAGAACCTCATCAAAAACCTCCAAGAACTCGAAAGCCCAGAACTTCAGACGAAACCCAGTAGAACCTCAGAGGCCTCCAGAATCTCAAAGCCTACAGAACCTCAAAAACCACCAGAAAGAACCTGAAAAACCTCCAGAACCTCAAAAACCTCCAGAACCTCAAAAACCCCCAGAACCTCAAAAACCTCCAGAACCTCAGAAACCTCCAGAGCCTCAAAATGTGACCGACCCACTTACCTGAGTTGGGTTGAGAACTGCCAGGCCTTCAGGTCTGTTGACTTTCCTCTCCGAGAGTCTATCGAATGAATGACCGAGGCGGACGAAGTTCGCCCGGTAGAGCACCTGTCTCTTAGAGACATGCCAACTCCTTCGGGCTGTTCCCTGCAGTAGAGAACGAGCCTTGTGGGCCGGTCTCTTTGCAAGAGACAGACCTTGTGCCAGCTCCTTCAAGATCACACACACGACCAAGAACGAGAAGGGCGCTACCATCTTGAGCGATCTCATCTTACACCCCTACCGTCATGCCAGTAGTATTCATACCATGGCACACTTACCAGGACCGCACCCCTATACCAAGCTAAAGCGCATGGAATCAACATGGATGATGGTGATGGAATGGCAAGGAAATGAGTGGAGAAAGTACCAGCTTGACGAATAGCCAGCTTGCATTTACTTACGCGCTTTGCTTTCCCTTTTGTGATATCTCCCAGGCCTTCAGCCTTTATACAGCCCTTCTCTCTCCTCGTGTTCTGCTCTGGTCTAGAGCGGTGGCTTCCTTCGCCACAACCTCACTCGCCCGAGCCTGCCGGCTACGCCTCTCACAGCACCAGCTTGCCTTGGAATGCACTGGGGCCCAGTGTTTTTCAGACAAAAACATCCAGAACCTCAAAAAGCTCCAGAACCTCAGGGACCCCAGAACCTCAGAAACCCCCAGAAGCTCAAAAACCTCCAGAACCTCAGAAACCTGCAGAAGCTCAAAAACCTGCAGAGCCTCAAAACCCCGATCCGACCCCCCAGAACCTCAAAAACCTCGAGAACATCAAAAACCCCGAACCGCCAGAACCTCAAAAACCTCGAGAACATCAAAAACCCCGAACCACCAGAACCTCAAAAACCTCGAGAACATCAAAAACCCCGAGACCCTCAAAAAACCCCCAGAAACTCGATAGCCCCCAGAATCTCTGACAAAACCCCCAGAACCTCAGAGGCCTCCAGAATCTCAAAACCTACAGAACCGCAACGAACAGCCTCCAAAAGTTCAAAGGCCTGCAGAAGAACACCAAGCGCCCCGTGAGCTTCAAAAACCTCCACAACCTCAAAGGCCTCCAGAATCTTAAAAGCGCCGGCCCAGAGCCTCGATGCCTCCCAGCAGAATCTCAAAAGCCTCCAGAAACAATCCGAAAAGGCTCCAGAATGAACCCCAAAAACCTCCCGAGCCTCGAAAGCCTTCACAACTCCAACAAGCTGCGAAGCCCCCAAAAGCCTCCAGATCCTCGAAAGCCTTCAGAACCTCAAAAACCCCCAACGGCAGACCCTCGGAGCCCCGAAGACCCTCGAAGAGCTCAACAACACGGGGCCCCTCCATAACCTACCTCAGACACCTCCAGAGCCTCGGACCCCTTTAGAAGCTCGACCACATCCAGGACCCAAGCCGCGCGCCCCTCTTCCCCTTTGGGGTCATGCTTGTGCAGTGCTTTCCTTTTCCTACTCTTTACCCTATTCCACGCCCTTGTTCTAAGTACAAACTAACGACAAGGCCTGAAGGCTCTTGCGGTGCAGAGTTTGGCCCTGCAGGCCATTCCATAACGTCCCCCAAATAGACAGGCGGCCGGCCCCGCGCGCGACGCCATGGCGGGACCAAATCCCGCAAATCGCAACCACGCTAGCAAGGTGCAGATCAGTAGGACTGGAGGCCACCCGCGCCACAGTCGTAGGATACGGGCCACCCAAAAACTCCTCTCGTAGTTGAAACAAAGCACGGACAGCATCAACAGCGTGGGCGAGACCCAGAAAAGTGCCTCCCGTGATTCCATCCATCAGCCTGACGCAATTGCAGCAAAAACTCCACCGAGGCCTTGCCCATAATCTTTTAGCACCAAATTGCCAACGAGAAGAACAGTATCCAGCAAGCAACCCTCCACATGCGTTGTGCACTATCAGAGCGCACACTGAACATGGGGTCACTCCCTCGCCGAACGGCCGAGCGCCCCGGGTGCTAGAGGTCGCGAGGGTGATAACAGACCCAATAGCAATGCTTGCACCTGCTAGCGTCACGCTTAACTGGAGAAGACGAGTCTGTAATATGGCACCCCTTCGAATCTAGCCCGGAGCCGCTTTCTTTTCGAAGCAGTTCTGTGGTCAGGCCGGCAAGACTCGACAGAAAAGCAGCAGCGAAAATGTGAGCGGGTCCCATCGTAAAGCCACCAATCTCACCCAAGTGCTGCTCGAGGTACCACTTGGGCACTGATAGGCGTGGGCATGGCGGGCTTAGTACTGCTGTTCCAACGGGCAGCGGAATTCTGTGCACTAAGCACGGCGGCCACAATAAGAATGAGGCACACAAGCAAAATGCTCAAAGACAGACACTCTCGGCGAACGCACGTCCACAGAAGTACGGCCCACACGGTCTGCGACTGAAAGGCGACGAAGTAAGTCGACCCGATGCATCCAAACAACGACTCGCCAATACTTGCAATTGTAGAAATCTACAACTAATCAGACTCGTGATCCTCAGATAGTCACACGCAAACTCCGGCAATATAGCCTAGATTCCGAGTAACTGGAGGCCCGACCCAAACACTGGCTGGCATGCACATGGCAATATAATAGAATAAAAGGGAGCTTCGGGATTTCTGGATTGCAAGGATGGCGTGCATGGCATGGATGGAGCAGCCGAAAAGCTTAAAATCATTATACATAGTGAACAAACGAATACGAACCAGAACCGAAACCCTAGCCCCAAACCTCAAGTCGGCTGCAGCCCCTTCTCTCTGATGAAGAAGAAAATCGTCAAACTCTAGCCTCTTCCTCAGTAGTGTTGCCAGCGTCTCCTTCAGCATGCGTCCCCCGCGAAGCTAAATGCCCACGCTGCTGGTGTTCCGCGCCAGGATGGAACTTCGTGCCGGGGGGCGCGTTCGCTCGCTGGCGATCCTGCTCAAAGTCTGTCGCGGAGGAGAAGCTCGAGGGCTCCTCTGCGTCTTCTTGCCCTTTCGCACGCTTGTAGCTTAGCCAAGCACGCATTACCAGGACCGTGAGAAGCATAACGCCTGCGCAAAGAGCAACGACGAGGATGACGCCGGTGCCCGAAATCATGGCTACTTTTGCAGCATCTGCATCCACCTGCTCCTGGCTATCGCCCACCCAGTAAGCGCAAGTGCTCAACGTGCAAACGGGCCCATTAAAGATGACGCGCTGAATCTCATAGAACTCAGTCACTGTCGGAAGCCTGCCACCTTCAACGTTGTCGCGGCAATACTCTCTGGCCCCCTTCCTTGTCCTCAGCATAGAGGATCTTGCGTACTTCTTAGCGCCCGCCGTCTTAGTGCCCCAAAGCATATCGTGCCCGTATATATGTTGCTCAGTGCTGTTCCTGTGATGCGTATTCATATACGCAGATATTTGCTCGTTCTTCTCGATCGTCGTCCCGCTGTGATAATACTCGATGTTGTCAGCGTTGCTGCGCTTTTGCGACATCGAGAAAAGGGGCACGATGAAGTAAAAGGTGTCCCCGAAGGCCCACCCGCCAGCGCAGAGGGTCTGTCCGGTGTACCCTTGATTTCCGAGGCCCCTTTCATGATAAACCTCCGTCCAGGGATTCACTTTCATAATCCACCACGCGGGCGAATCGATGATGTTTCTAGTTGCAAACCCACTCTTGGCCGTGTTGCTCACCGTCACGCCCCTAATGGAAGACCATGTCACATAAGTAGTCTCTGCCCTTGGCACCGACCACCAGTTTCTGCCGCGAGTTGTGGTTGCGGTAATTGTGCTTCCGTAATATTCGTCGGGTGCTGTGGGACAAGGCGCCATACCGTTTAGTTCTCTGTCATAGATACAAAAAAAAGGCCGTCGCTGGTTCTTTCTTCGAGTGCAATTCTCTTGCCGATATTTAATCAGATCACCCGCATCCACTGGGCTGAGCTCATACCCCACGCGGCAAGCTGTTGCAGGAGCATCTTTTTTGGAAGGCGGGCGCGCTCTCATTCTCAGCCACGGATACAAAAGCTTCACCCTTGACGATTGTTAGTTGTGACGTTGAATGTCCTCACTACTTACACACACAAATAAGGCAGAAGAACACTTTGCCTGGGGCCCACCCTTGCTACCACATGGAGAAGATGAAAGCGGGCTTGCCCCATCACCCCCAAATACGCAAAGGGCCCCAACCGAAATCAGACTGACCGTGCCGCACTCACGCCGGCAACAATGGCCGCGAAGCTCAACTCTCCCTGAAGTCCTGCCACCACGTGCTGGCGGCTCTGATGGCACGCCTACTAGCAAACCTCCCACCACCCCATCCTACAACCCAGCCCCCGTCTCAAGCCATCCACGCACACGCAAAACCTTCACACACAATGCGGCCACCAGGGCTCATTTATGACGCCACCCGCGGCCAAAAAACTCACTTTGGACGCGGGGGGGTGTGGACTTGAGAAAGAGCGCCAGAGGGAGCAGAAAACCAGCGGCACAGCCTGCGCCTTCTCTGGGCTGAGGGCGCAGGACATGGCCTGCCGAGCCAACATGTACATGATCACCCCACACGCCAAAAGAATCCCAAGCAGCCAAAAGCAAAACACACACAACACGTCAACCAAGGGAACCCCAATACGCACCCACCAAAGGGCGCGCGAGCGAGATCCCGGAGCAACACCTCGGCGCGAGAGGAGAAGACGCCCCACTTCCTGCGCCTTCAGCTCGTGACCGCAGGCAACCCCCAGCGAGGGGGACCAAGGGCGAGAAGCTGGCGGCGCCTCCTCCAGCGCTTGCTTCCCCGCCGAGTGTGGCGGCCCGCATGGGTGCCGAAAGACACTAGGACTAGCTAGGCCCTTTTAAGAAATAAGGTTCGGAGGACACCTCCAGACCAGTGTCCTTCCACAACCATCCCGAGGCGGGGCCGCCGGCTGGCGCGAGCAATGATCATGAGCGGCGTTGTGACGCTGCCCGGCCGCCCGATGCTGGAGCTGGACCTGGAGCCGACGCCGGAGTTGTCGAATAGAATAACTGGACCCCCAGACAACCCAGCGCCCGCTCCGGGGCACCAGCCCACGCGGACTTTCTTCCAGCTCGTTGCATCGCCCGCAACCCTTCAGGACCCACGCTCGCCCCTAGTGCAGGCGCACGCATGCTAACTAGCAACCTTGGCATTGACCCAAGCTGTCGCACTCTAACTAACCGGGGAAACTTTTCACTTCCATGCTGAGAGTGAGAACGTGAGCGCTGCCTTTCGTATCAGGGTTGGCAGTCTCCTGCAGGGCTCGATCTTCTTCCGCCTCATCTTGTTCGTCGAACTCATCTTCCTCGAGATAATCCCGCTCCGCGTCATCATGATCCCCGTCATTCATAGCGGGTGGCACCGCTGAGAGGGTTGCTGGCTTCGAAAGAGACCTCCCCCACTATGCAGAAGCGTTTCGGCCGCGACGCCTCCTAAGAGCATGGACATTTTCGCCAGTTGTACTCCTCGTTCTCCAAGGAGCGCCATTGTTCTCGGTTGTTTCATACTTCTATAAAAAACGATAGAGATGAGAGATTTAGGGGGACTGAGGCTAATCCTCTTCCTCGTGCGCCTATTTCAGTGACTAATTTGCTACACAATTCGCAACACGTGACTGCGTTTGTTGTTGTAGTAAGTGCTGTAAAATAACAGCGAAACAGGTGCTGGCAGAGTGGCAAAGAGTGGCGACCACCTTGATTAGTTCGCTGCGCAACTGTTTGGTTATCGTTATGCTTTTCGAAAACTAAATACCTGACCAACTATTTTCTTCTCGTTGCTTTTGAATGCGGGATGAAGATGATCCTTGATGAGGTGAGTACCAATAAAAAAGTTGCGAATGCGACCTGATGGCGATGATGCTTGTGGGACTTCGATTTCTTAAAATTTTGATGAGGAGGCGGCGCGTGGTTGTCTGACTTCGTATCCTACGGAGGAAACTAGCAGCTGCTGCAGAAGATTTGAGAGATCAAAGCCATTTTTTACTTTATCATGATATATGTTACAAATTCCTATAAATGTAACAACATATGGCGGAGTAGAATAATTATTTTAGCATCTATGACAGATTCTTGCATATTGGGCTCTTCCTCCTCCAGTGAATGAACGCGCTAAGTACCAAAAGTTTTCTTGGGTTGAGTGGTGTTTATTCAAATGCATAAAACGCCTGTTGAAAAAGAAAGTGTCAAAGTGTTTTTGTCTTGTGTGTGTTTTCAGTGCGTTGCTACTTAAGTTCGTTTTTCTTTTAAGCACTTAATTACTCAACTAAATCACTCCAAGGCTTTGGCTTTTCTTATGGCTCAACTCTCAACAGATTGCCAGCAAACAACTCAAACAGATTGACGCAGTGTGGATTTCTCTCACACCCGCCAACCTAAAAGCTTGCGACGCATGACATTGATCAGATGTTTTGCGAGCAAGGTTGATTTAGCAACAAGTTAACAGTGCTGGGCAAACGTATACAACGACAAACAATGTGAAAGAGAGTACTAACCTACGCCAGTCTAATGCAAATCACTATCGCGGAGAGTGCGACGAGCCAGCCTAAAGCCTTTCCCTTTAGAGTGGGTCTTCTTTACGTGTTCAGTAATTTTCTTTACTTGTTTTCTTGTGTAGTTCTACTGACTTACCGCTACTACACTATTTGGTAAGCGAACTCTTTTGCAGCTAGCCTTACGAGTCAAGGTTAATGGGTTAAATTATCAACGGTTTAAGTAGGAAAAAGTAAGTCGTTCAGGACGCACAAGGTAAAGTTTGTTGATTTATACGCTAGAAGAAAAACATAAGTCAGCTCTGCCGTAACCGCTGTGCTCAAGGCGTTCTAAACAGCTTGCCTAGTCGTAGTGACTTTATGAACAAAGGCAAAGCGTTAGACTTTAGTTTAGTCCCAACGTCCACAATGTTCAAACTTTTACCACACAAGAATTTAAGAGCAAGCTTGTTACTAGTGAACGCTTGACGTAGCGCCCCCCAGATAACACTCATTCTTGGGTTCTTGTGCTTGTTCGAACTCTTTACGTGAGTTATTGTTGAGTCGTTATCGTTAAAAATGCAAGGCTTAAGCTTACTGCACACAACTTGCATCCCGAGACCTAGATTTTGTAAGTATTCCGCTGCTACGGAACCGCACTGAATAGATAATGTCGCAACGTCAAGAATAGCGCCTACCCTACGTATAACTACTCGAGTTCTCCAAAATACCAGAGAAGCGCGGACCCATGCGGGCTTACTAGATACTGGCGCTAGACGGTCGGTAGGCTCGTTGGTGTAAAGGTTTTGGTCGCAGTCGACGTCATAGCCAGATACGAAAAACATACCAGCAAAAACAGACGGGCAAGTTTTGCGACGGTTGTAACTTGCGTCAGTGAGTGCAACTATGCGAGATTTTTCTACTTTCATGGGGTGCATGCGAATGCCATTCCCACGATGAAAAATAGCAGTCCTCAGAGTTTTGTTTAGAGCAATGACATCGCTCCAAATAAGATAAAATTCCGTTAAAAAAAAGAGCTAGGCAACTTGAAAAATTATTTAAGCTAACTAGTTAAACTAATTACTTAAGCTAGCTAGTTAATGTGGCCTCGGGGGGTGCCGCAAGTCCTAAACCCTAAGCCGCTGGCGCAGAGACCGATCGCTGTGGCCCAGTCTTCTTGCCGCAGACCCCAACCGCCACCTTAACTAATTAGCTTAACTAGTTATCTTAACTAGCTAGCTCGATAAGTTAGCTTAAATAGTTAGTCGATTTTTCAAAAAAGGAACTTTATCCAGAAACTAGATGCGAAAATAATTACTTTACTCCGCCATACAACAGTTGTATTAAATACAAGCACAACTGAGGCGGTAGACCTAGTTGTAGGAAGATCCTCTCTCCTCGCATGAATTCGCTTCTAGCTCATTGACAGAGCCGACACCAACCATACCGACGACACCCTTCAAGACAGTCTATTTTTGTGGCTCATCTGCTCCCTCATTATCTATCATGTTCGCCACGACCCTTGAAACAGGCCACGCCTCCGCTCGTCTGTCCATGCAGTCCATGCAATGCATTGCAGTCCATGCAATCCGCCATCCATCTTAGGAAGTGCTCGAAGTTATACGTTGGCCATGGCTTTCCGCGCAGTGCCACAGCAAAGCGCGGTAACTCAGCTGTCATATAAGCAGCAACGTCCGCAGACGGAAGAAGGGCATACTTCTCAAGGGAGTGCGTCCCCTTACGTGCACCAGCTAGCGCCGCAGCGCAGCAGTCTCCCCGCAAGGGTCTTCCCGTGTTGCGCCCCAGGTATGGGCCTCTATTGCTTCTCCTACGCAATGGAGCGCCGGGGTCCTCCTCGTGACTATCCCGCCCGTTAGTCGCGCCCGCAAGCGCAACTACGTGCTCCTAAGAACGAATGGGCCGCAGCCCTATCCTCTTCAGGACTCAAAGTAAGACCCACTACCCGAAGACCGCAGTCCCAACTGTCTACTATCTCTGCAGAGCGTATCCCCATCACCTGCAGGCGATCTACGACGCTGCCACAGCTAGGCCATGCAGGTAGAGACACGACGACGATGATGATGCAAACCCACCGACCGGGTGGGGCGGGGTGCCATCTCATCCCTGCGACCGTTTTACCTAAGAGGGTCGCCCTCTTTAAGCTAAAAGATTGCCCCTACTCGACCCCGCAGAGAGAGGCCAGACCCGCGCCCGCCACCTCTCCGGGGGACCCCAAGGCGGCGAGGGGAGCTCGCTTCGCTTGCTCTTACCCTCCTGCACTGCCTCCCCCTTCATCGGGGGGTCTCCCCTTAGGCGGCCCCTTCATTTCGGCCGTCTTTTTTTGCTGTTCTGTTCCCTTCGTGGTCTTTTTGGCCTCATTTCGTCCGGCGGTCCCTTTGCCAGGTCTCCGCCCTTTCTCTTCTTTTTTCTCCACTTCTGTGCCTGCTCCTTTCCTCTCCTTCGGTCTTGTTCTTTGTTCTCGTTGCTGCTTCCTCTTCATTGCTGTGGGGCTGCTCTGTGCCCCCCTTTTCTTGAGGGCGTTGCCCTTCTCCTCCTCTTGGTCTCCTGGCTGCTTCTTCCCCTTCTTCCCTTTTCTGAGGTCTATCAGCGGCTCCTCCGCTGGCCGCTTTTCTCCTCCAGCCTTTTCCGCCCCTGGGGGCTTCTTTGGCTTCTTCCCTTTCCTGAGTCCCTCCAGCGGTTTGCCCGCGGGCCTCTTTTTTCCTTCCCTTCTCTTCTCCTCTGCCTCTTCTCTCTTTTGGATTTTGCGCTGGGCCTCTCTTTTTGCCCTATCGTCCTGCCCCTCTTCCCTCTGTCTTTTTCTCTGGGCCTTGGCTTTTTCCTCCTGCTCCTTCCCCGCAGGATCCTTCTTTTTTTTTTCTCCTCTACTTCCCTGCAGTGGGTGGCCCAGATTTCTCCTCCCTCTATTCTTTTACACCCTTCGCACCATTTTCCCGGTCCCTCCACCGGCCAGCCGCGCGCCTTCTCCCTGTGGGGGCATGTCTTTACCTAACCTTTGTCATCGGGTCCCAGCGCATTCGCTTGGCCCCGTGGTATGCCTCCCTCCTTTTCTCGTCCTTTCTTACCCTTTTGGCCTGTTCTAGCCACTTTTGGCGCGCCTGGCCTGTGCCGTGCATCACCTGGCACATACCGCATCGGCGAGTGTCCGACTGTGCCCCCTGGCGTTTCTTCACCCCCAGGGTCTTGGTCGATGATTTCCCCTGTCTGCTCATAGTGTTCCCAGTCTTCCACAAGTTTGAGGAGCTCGCCTGCCTCTTGCTTGTCTTGGATGTGTATCCCGTTCCCTACGCACTGCCACTCTTTTCCTTTCAGCGATATGCTCGCCACCTCTTTCACCTCCTCGGGGCTGAGTCCTGCCTCCTCCAGGTAGGTGCATTTCCTGGAAGTGCGAGAGCCTTTGCAGTTCCCCGGCGTCCATCGTCTCGTGTCCCCGCGGTCCTTCTTCCATTCTCGCTCTCTTTCGCTTGCAGCCTGGTAGCCACAGCTCGCGCGTTCTCCCTCCTTCCAGTTTTTTGCCGTCCTTACCCAGTGCGCCACTAGGCCCGCTGGGCCTTTAAAGCCTTCCCGTCCGCAGTGCTTGCACGTCGCCCAGTCCCTGTCCTCTCGTTCTCCTCTTCTGGTGTTGTGCAGAACTCTCGTCGCCGCGTTCCATAGTTCCTTCCAGTGGATCGACTGCGGGCAGCGTGTCACGAGGTTCCACACGTCTGCCATTCCTAGCCGCTCCACCCAGGTCTGTACGCGTGGCGTCTCTTCCAGCTTCTCAGGGTCCCGCGTCACTTCTATTATCTCGCTCAGTTCCTCCATGTTGTGGAACCCCTCCCCCGGTCCATTTTGGAGGAATTTCCCTAGCCTCTCCCTGAATTTCTTCCATGTCTCCGCCTCCGTGTTGTCCCTTTCTCCTAGTCTGACTCTCCTGGCGGGCATTATGTTCGGCCCTTCGTTCTCGTTGGCCTTGAGGGTCATCCCCGGGCCGAGCCTTCTGCCCCACTTTTCCCCTCGCTCTGTATCTGTCGACTATTGCCAGTAGCCTGAGCCGTTCCCACTTGCTCCGAACCGTGGGCAGGCGGACTCTCCTGCCCGCCTCATCCTGCGGCAGGCGCTGCTCTTTCTCCACCATTCTGCACGCTGCGTGGATCTCCTCCTTTGTCATATCCGTGAGCGGTAGGGCCACCCTCTTCCTCCCCCAAGTCTCTCCGAGTCTCTTCTCTTCCTTCGGGTCCGCTACAACCCGGACCAGCTTGGTCTGGATTTGCTGCATCTGCTCCATGTCATGATCTGACAGCTTTGACGTGTCGAGCCCGTAGAGTATGACGGTGTCCACGAGGGCCTCGACTAGCATCTTCCTGTCATGTTGATCGATGTCCTCATCCCTTAGGAGCGGGCTGATCATCCTCGCGACCTTTTTGGCCTTGTTCAGCCGGTCAGCCACCTCCGGCTGTGTGGCGCCGTAGATGTTTACGGTGTCCCCAACTAGACGCCCGCTTCTTTTGGTCAGGTCTGTCCCTTTTGCCTCGAAGTCGCTGCTTCCCAGTCTCTCACTTGGGGCCTTCCTCTCCTGGTGGGTCAGTTTCTCCCTCGTGGGAGTCTCCGTTTTTGATTTATTCACTATCGTGCTGCAGTCCTGCCCTACCTCCTCGAAGATCTCCACCGCCCGGACTGTCCTCGCCACCATGTGCCCCCAGATGCTTGCGTCGTCAGCGTACACGGTGAGGCTGAAGGCCCTGCCTGTGTCTCTGTCAGCCCCTCGCACGCTTGGATGCTCCAGGGCCACCCCTCTGCGCGGTTGTCTCTCTTCGGGGGCCGGGTTGCCCCATTTCTTCACCCTTGGCTTCCATTTGCGCCGGCTGCTCTGCCAACCTTTTCGCGGTTCCTCGGTCGCGTTCGCTGGCTTGGTCACTTCTACTCCCCTCAATCCTTCCCCCTCTAGTCTTCGCTCGATTTCTTCACTCATCGCAAGCGTGTAGATGATGAAGAGGTAGGGGGATATTGGCGACCCCTGATACACTCCGAGGTCGATTGCTGTCTCTTCTGCTCGGTGCTTTCCCCACTGCGACACCATTCGCGTTCTTTTGTGTAAGTTCCTCACCGTCTCGACGTATCCGCCTGGAGCGCCTAGCTCTAGCATGATCCTCCAAAGCTTGCCCCTTCTCGCCCGATCAAAGGCGTTACTCAGATCACACAGCGCAAGGGTGAGACCTGACGTCTCGTCTGCCTCTATGAGCTCCTTGACGTCGAGGAGGTAGTCCCTGCATCCCATTCGGGCCTGGAAGCCATACTGCCGGACCCTTCCCGTGGTGTCCCTTATGATTCCTTCGAGCTGGCGCTTGTGCGCGTTGCATATTATCTTGCGCGCGACCTGCAGGACGGCGACTGGCCTGTAGTTTATTCTCTCGCCCTTGCTTCCCTTCCCTTTGTACAGCCATGCCACCCATCCTGTCTGCAGTTCCTCAGCCCCACTCGCTTCGTCTATCTCCTTTAAAACCTTCGCCCAGTTCACGGGGTCTAGTTTGAAGGTCTCCCCGATGATTCCGCCCGGCCCGGCCGCTTTCGCGAACTTGGCCTGTTCGATTGCCTCCCTGTAGGCCTGCCATGGCAGTCCATTGGCGCCCGTTGCTTTTAGCTCATCCCGAAGCTTATCGCCTACTTTCACCGACCACCTTCCCGGCTCCGCCTCTTCCTTGGTCTTGTTCCATTTTTTGTCGGTGTTCTTATCCTCTTCTTCGCCGATGCTCCAGAGCTCCGCTATTCTCTCGCGGAAAGCATCCGCGATCTCCTTGTCCGTCCTGGCGGTTCCTTTGTAGTTTCCATCGCAGTCAGTCACCCTGATGCCACTACTTTCAGCGTTCTTCTTTCCCCCTCGGCTTGTTCCTTTATGTTGCCGCGCCATTTCATAGAGCTGCTTGACCTGGTCCGTCCTGCTTCCTCTAGCGAGGTCCCTGATTCTGTCTCTCCAACCCGCTGCCTTCGCTTCCTTTTCCAGTCAAGCGGAGGCCAACCCGCCACCATCCTCGCTAAATTGCTGCTAAAATTGCGGCCAAACCAGCAAAGGCGAGGAGTGACAACAAGGAGGCCACCGGCAGCAAAGACACGGAAAAACGAACACACCACGAAGAAGCACACGACGATCCCAAAACCAAAACCCCGCC